CTAATAATAGTCACAAGCCAAATTGATTCACAATTGAGTAAAAATAATAAGCAAATAATTACCGTAAAGTTAAATAGACACTAAATTTTATATGAAAAATCATTTAATATGAAGGAAAAAATCACGGGTAAAACTCCGAATTAAATCTACTATCAACAAAAATAAATACAAAATAATCCACCAATGATTAAATTTAGAATAAAAGAAATAATTTTTCTTTGCACAGAACTTGAAGAAAAAAGTAAAGAAAATCAAATTAAATTTTCCTGAAAAAGAACGAAATTGTTAATGTCACCAAGGAGAGAGAATAAAAACCATTTGTTTTTCTTTCTCTTAGCAGCCACTCAACCTATATATATATAGTTCTATATGTATATATATAGAGAGAGAGAGAGAGTTCTCTTCTTCTTCCTTTTCTCTTCTCTTTCTTCTTTCTCTCTTCCTTTTCAGCACAACCTCTCTCTTTTTCTCTGATTTTTTTTTTTCGTGCAACAAACATATATATATATATATATATGAGCTACAATCCTAATTTCTTTTTTTTTTCTTTTCTTTTAAATTATTAATTTACTTTTTTTTTAATGAACTAAATTTTAACACTAATAACAATAATAATAGTAATAATAATAATAATAATAATAATAACAACCCCAACAAGAGAATGTTGGTGTTAATTGAAAAATAATTAACTATTTTTGGGGATGAAACATAATTAACTTGCATTTGAGAGAAGGTAGTAATTATACTTAACAACCCATAGTTAATTCTAAAAAAAAATTGTAGTGATGGGATTTTATGCATTTCAATATATTATTTTTATTGATTTTAAAAAAATATATTTACAGGTAATAATTATTTTAGCGACAGAGAAATTGTTACTACAAATATACAGCGACAAAAATTTTCGTTATTATAATCAATTTTTAAGAAAACAATATATTCCCAACCATACACATAATACAAGAGTTTGAATATTATAATCACCAATGTCATCACACCTAACAAAATTAAAGAAAAAATCTATTGTCATCACAAATTTTTTAAAAATCTTGAACCGATCTTTTCAATTCATTTATTAGTTAATTAATTAACTTTATAAAAAAATCATGAGTGATTTTATGTGATTGTGATTCCCAAATATTTATTGTTGTTTTCTTCATATTACTACGTTTATATAAACTTAGGCATAACTTTGGTTCAAGCATAGCCAGAAGAGAAAAAAACGTGAAAAGAAAAAAAGAATCATGGGCTCCTTTCCCACTTCCAAGATCGCTATTATAGATTTCAGCAGGGAGGACTTGAAACCAGGCTCTAATTTTATGGTTGTCTACATGCCAAGATGTATGCAACGCACTTGCAGAGTGTGGTTGCTTTGTAGCCGTGTATGATAAAGTGCCTGCAGAACTTGACAATGCAATTTTCGATGCTTCAACACAGTTGTTTGGTCTCCCTACCGAGATCAAAAGAAAAAATCTCAACAGCAAGCCATTTCATGGCTATGTAGGGGAAATGGCTGCCGTCCCTCTCCATGAAGGTCTTGGGATAGACTATGTTACAGACATGGAGGAAGCTCAAAACTTCACTAATCTTATGTGGCCTGATGGGAATGATCATTTCTGGTACATTATATATGTGATAAGATGATATTTACATAGTATGTTTTCAATATTCTTGGTTAATTATGCATTCTATCTTGATTAATTAGTTTTATTTTTTATGTTCTTGGTTAGCAAAACTGTTTATTCATACTCAAAAAATGTAGCTGAACTGGATCAAATGGTGGTGAGGATGATACTTGAGAACTTTGGCATAGAGAAGTACTATGAATCTCATGTTGAGTCAACCTCGTACCTTCTTCGATTTTTGAAATATCTAGCACCAGACACGCCTGATCAAGCAACACAGGCATTTCCTTGTCATACTGACAAGACATTCTTCTCAATACTTCACCAAAATCAAGTAAATGGTTTAGAAGTAAAAACAAAAAATGGTGAATGGGTTGGATTTGATCTCACTCCTTCAAGTTTTGTCGTTATGGCCGGTGATGCAAGCAAGGTGAGCTATTTTGTTAATTTGCTTCAACTTGTTAGGGTATGAAAAAAAATGTATATGTAGTCTATCACACTCGAAAGCATATTATTTCAGTGGTAAATATGAATTAATAAATGTTGACAATATGGTTTGCTTTGCTTAGGCATGGAGCAACGGTAGAATACATTCATGTGAGCATCGAGTCACCATGTGCGGGACAGAGACCAGATACACACTTGGCCTATTTTCTTTCATTGGTGGAACCGTAAATATACCAGAAGAACTTATTGACAATGAGCATCCACTAAAATACAAGCCATTTAATAATGTGGCAATGGTTCAATTTTATGCAGCAAAAGGCCGAGTAAATGCATACAGCCTTGAAGCTTTCTGTGGCATCTAAGACTTTTCTGGCAATTTTCAAGTTGTCTAGGATCTATATATGTTTTCAACTATGATTGTTTTATATCCGTCGATTAGGTTTCATCTATATATGTTGTGATAATATTAATAAATGTAAGTGTTTCTTATTTAATTAGAAGATTAAGAATGAAAGTGTAATATGCATGCAGCTGTATGAAATCATGTGAAAAAGCAATAACAGTCACTTAGAACTTGGATTAGTCTTTTTGTTTTTGTTTATTGACAATATGTTAGACCCTTTTTTATTAGCAATATAATATGCTTGCTCGGTAATCTAATACTAAAAGTTTTACGTCTTCTTCCTAACACTTCGATTTTGAGAGGTAATTTTCAATATTGGCTCAAGAAAATTTTTAGAGTTTGCTGATTTTTTATGTTAAAAAATGTGATCTAATATTACACAAAAATAAATTTATTTTTTAAACGTATTAAGAGGATGTAATATAATACATCAAATAAGTTATTCTTAGAAAACTTAAGAGTTTAGTATTTTTTAAAAAATATTCAAAATGAATCAGTTAAGTAAATTATCTTTTAATTTTTTTATCAAATTTATTTTTAATATTTTATATAAAAATATTTCAAAAATAATTTTCAAAATATATCAAAGTTAGATGAAAATTTATGACAATAAATCAAAAGGTCTTAAAAAAGTTATCTGAATGTCGTTAGTAAAATATTCTCTCCGACATAAAAATGTATTGTTTCTTGATTTTGGGCATGTACTGCAACAATGTATTATATGTAACACAACAAATGATTCGGCCGCACTTAAAAATATGATGATTTGGTGTATTAAATGAATCACGTTTCAAATTTCTTTTTGTTTAATAGCAAGAATAACCTATGGAGATTTTAAAATTACTGATTTATGCATTTTCTAATAAGTTTTGAGAGAGATTAAGAATAAAGTTTCATTTGGTATCTTGAGCTAAATTTTAACCTACTTACACTTGTAATATTCACTCGAAGAGATTTTTTTTAATTTATTTTTTAAAAATTTTTGAACTTTTTAAAATATATAAAATAAATATTTCGACGTGCTTTTAGGACAAAAACACATTAAATGATGAGTTAAACACATTGTTAACAAGCTTTTGTAAGAGAGAAATCGCAAATGATAAAAATCATATTTTGAAAAAAAAAAATACACATTAAATGGTGAGTTAGACATATTATCAACTAACTTTTGTAAGAAATTGAAGATAATTTTCATAGCCGTGGTTGAAACTTCGTAAATTGTGTTTGAAATCTATTATCGTCACTCTCTTTTATTTACTTACTGCATTTAGTTATAATTATCCATGAGTTTGTTGCTCGTGTAATTAATTTGTTTATGAACACTTATATTTATTCTAAATTATAAATTTTTTAAAGAAATTTATCATAATTTTTTTAAAAATAAAAATTTAATTTGACCACTATTCAACTATCTTAAATACTTGGCCAACACAAAATAATTTGTCGATTGTCTTTATAATTATAATTTTAGTAAAAATAAAGATCCTATTCTTTATTCTTCATAAACAAACATAAAATTGACTTTAGAGAAAATAATATGTAAATAAACTTATTACAAACATGGGAATTCATCTGGAGATGACTTCCATTTTCTTATTCCTTTCTTCCAAATTAAACATTAGGGAGAGAATGAGATATATGGGCACGAAATATCGTTTCCATATAAATATATATGGCTAAAATTATATATAATTTTACAATCCATTATTTGTTCAAAGTTCCAAATTACATTGTACATGAAAAGTGCAAATATGTATACTTTATAAATTAATATTCCCTATGTATATGTCCTGTACTAGATAACAGATTTAATTGTCTTGTCTATAAGTACTACATAATATATATATATATATATATTATAAATTAATGGGTCGCACTTTTCAATTCAATTTTAAAAATTGAGCACGTTTTGTATGATACCATTGGGAAAGAAAATTTTAATTTCCCTAAACATTGGTCCCCTATTTGGATAAAATATATAATTAATTCCCTATTCTATATTACGGAATATAATCATATCCACCAAATTAAATACCAAATATTAAGCTTAAACCATTTGTCATTTCTTAATTATTGCAATATCTTGTGTTTTTAGCTGTGATTTTATGTGCTCCAAAAAATAAAATTATCAGAACTACCCTACTTGGCTCTGAGCCAGAATTGTTTATATAATTGGTTAATGATGTTGCTTGCACCCACATAAATATACTTAATATGTAATTATTGGGCTGATGAGAACAAAATTAAAATTAGTTCATAAATAAGACAAGGAAAAAGATATGAAAATGGTCCAGGGAAAATATATTAATATATATTTTATAAATTATCATCACTATCGATTGCCTTTAATTACATATTATTGGTTAATTCAGGACAAAAATATTCTTCAATCAAAATTATCTGAAATGAAATAGATTCGGCAACTGGCCAGTACGATATCAATTTCAATTAAAACGTAATTTTCATATCTATAAACTTTTAAAAAAAATATTGAACATATATAATTTGCTTTGTTGTGCAAATGAATCTTTTTCCGGTAAGCCTTTGGCTTTAGTCTTAAAACTTCTCATTTCTTTTCATCGAATCAGACAATAGGTATACATAGAAGCAAACCCTATAAATATTGCCATGAAAAGTAAACATATAAGGGAAAAGAATCCAACCATCAAAATTTCTAAGCGAACAAATTAAGTTAACATGGGTTCTGAAACAGCTCTTAAGCTTCCTGTAATAGATTTCTCCAATGAAGATCTAAAACCAGGAAGTTCTGAATGGAATTCAGTAAGAAGCCAAGTTCATGAAGCTTTACAACAATACGGTTGCTTTGAAGCTTCATTCGACAAGCTTTCCTTCGAGCTTCGAAAGCAGATATTTACAACCTTGGCAGAACTGTTTAACCTTCCTCTACCAACTAAGTTGAAAAACGTTTCTAAGAAACCATTTCATGGCTATGTTGGGCAATACCCTATGGTCCCATTATACGAGAGCATGGGCATCGATGATGCAAATATTAAGGAAAAAGTTGAAGATTTAACCAAAAAACTTTGGCCTCAAGGAAATACAAGTTTCAGGTCTGTTTAGTATGATTAGATAGTGATTTTTTTTTTTTAGTTTTGGAGAACATTTTCATACACTTCCATTGATTATATCAATACCATACAATATTACATGAGTAATCGATTTCTTTTTCTTTTTGTTTGGCAGCAAAACAATTCAATCCTTCTCTGAGGAATTGTCGGAACTGGATCAAACCATCAGGAGGATGATTCTGGAGTGTTTTGGTTTGGAAAAATACTTGGATGAGCACATGAATTCCACAAATTATCTTCTAAGGGTAATGAAATATAAAGGACCCGAAACTACTGATACTAAATTGGGTCTATCTGCTCATACAGATAAGAATATAGTAACTATTTTGTACCAAAATCAAGTTGAGGGTTTAGAAGTACAAACTAAAGATGGGGAATGGATTAAGGTGCAACCCTCACAGGATTCTTTCATTGCAATGATTGGAGATTCTTTATATGTAAGTTGATTCCAATAGTTCTTCTAATGAGTTTACTTTTATGATTTAAATTCTTAAAATATTAGCTATAAAGTGTTTGAAAATTACAGAAAAGTTGGTATACTTCATTTACATAATTGACATATTATAAATATTTATCAAAAAATTATAAAAATAAAGTTTAAAAGTATTATAATGACAATTTATTAACTTATCTATACTTCTGAAATATTCAATTGTAAATATCGTTTTTAATTATACAGGCATGGTTAAATGGTCGGTTATATTCTCCATATCATCGTGTGATGATGAGGGGAAACGAAGCAAGGTACTCGGCAGGATTGTTTTCAATCCCTAAAGAAGGCTACATTATAAAAGCTCCGGAAGAGATGATTGATAAGGAGCATCCTTTGCTGTTCAAGCCTTTTGATCATGTCCAATTCCTCCAGTTTTATTACACTGAGGCAGGACAGAGAGCAGAATCCGCTCTCAAGGAATACTGTGGTGCATGAGCTTCTAGCTTTACCTATATATATATATATATATGCTGTTATTATGATGGAGATATCTTAACTGATGATTGGTCATCCTTCGAAATAATAGAGCTTGGTGTTGATCACATCTTATAAATTGTAGAAGAGTGAATGTTGTACCTTTTGTAATTTTTAATGATTTTACTTCAAGTTTTCTATTATATATATACATGCATTAACTATTAAATGTATATGTACTGTTTTCATATAAGTAATAATTAAAAATAAATAATTGTACAATTATACATATCAGGATAGGTGAATTAGTTTTCTCAAAGAACAAAATAAAAAAATTAATTGATGTGAAATACGTATTTCGTTTAAAGATAAATAACGAATCTATTATTTATTGAAGTATGTTATCACTTATTTAACTTATTTTAACTTATTTTAACTTGACTTATTTTAGCACTCAATTATTTTTGTAAGTATAGTTGTTATATTTAACTTATTAAGACAGTTTGGTTGGGTATTAATAATCCTATTAGATTGTAACCCAGTATTATTATCAAATAAAACAAAAGGGCTTCTTTTCTTCCTTTTCTCATGGTATCAAGACAAGGGAACAGAGTACATGGAAAATAAACCAGGCGGCACCGATCAAACACGGGAAGGAGAATATCGACAGAAAGAATGTCGAACGAAAACTCCAAGATCTCTTTGGTGTCAGTTCTGATGTCGGTTCTGCTGAGCGGAACGAACTACAAAAGCTAGAGAGAGGCTGTCAAAATCACACTGGCCACGAAACACAAACTTGGATTCGTAGATGGGAGAATCAAGCAACCTTGAGGATGGAAAAATTTTTGTGTCAAGAGATACAAAGTTTTATGAAAGCGATTTTCCATACCAGCATATCAAAGATAAGACCAGTTTGCCATGGGTCCCCGTAGCGGATATGGGATTGAGAGATAGAGGGGATGAGGCTACTGTGAGCCAATAGGATGTTGACAATGGAAATCAAACAAAACAGTTTATTAACACCTGTGTAGACCAGTCACAGCCCGCAGAACAAAGAAGACTCCGAAACAGAACCAAATCCAGATGGTTGCAAGATTATGTGAACAAAATTGACACCACACTAGTTTTGACATCGCCATATTATCCAAACACATTTCCATTCATTCAGAATCCACTCCTACCGAACCAAGACACAAGTTTTCTAGCCAACATAGACGAAACTCAAGAACTCACAAACTACAAAGAAGCAGCACAATCTAGCAAATGAATGGAAGTTATGCAAGTAGAAATAAATGCACTAGAAAAAAAAATCAAACATGGATAATCACTGATTTACCACTTGGAAAAAAGGCCATTGGATATAGATGGGTCTACAAAGTAAAATTAAATCCTGATGGTACTATAGGTAAATACAAAACTAGACTTGTTGCGAAAGGATATCATCAGCAAGAAGGGATAAATTATTTTGAAAGTTTCTCACCAGTGGCAAAGGTTGTAACAATAAGAATATTACTCACTATAGTGGCCACAAACGGATGGATTCTACACCAATTGGATGTTAATAACGCATTCTTACATGGAAAACTTGAAGAAGAAGTCTATATGCTCCCACCACAAAGATATGCAATAGCCAAGAAAAACGAGGTATGTAAACTGAGAAAGTCTCTTTATGGCCTCAAGCAAGCATCAAGACAGTGGAACACTGAACTCTCAAACTTCCTGATACAGTATGGCTTTCAACAGTCAGCACATGATCACTGCTTATTCACGCTTCAGAAGGAGAACAACCTTATAGTAATTTTAGTTTATGTCGATGATATTTTGCTCACAGGAGACTCCAAAATGAAAATAAATAAATTAAAAAGAGAACTTGATGCATAATTTAAAATCAAGGATATGGGAAATGCACACTATTTTTTAGGATTAGAGATCTCAAGAACACCACAAGAATTGTATGTGAATCAGAGAAAATAAATTATGAATCTAATGCAAGAAGCGGGCTTGATGGGAGCAAAGCCCAAAGTAACACCAATGTCAAAGGGACAACAGATACACGACACCGCATCACCACTACTCACCGATCCCCAACACTTCAGAAGCCTAGTTGGAAAGTTACTTTACTTGGGATTCACAAGACCCGACATCGCATATGTCGTCTAATAGTTAAGCCAATTTGTTCAAAATCCGAGAGAAATTCACCTAAAAATGGTACAGTGTGTCATAAAATACTTGAAACATCAGCCCTCTCTGGGGCTCCTCCTTCTGTCCGACAATACATTCCATATCGTAGCCTACTATGACTCCAATTGGACAGTATGCATTGAAAGTCAAAAAAATCATTTACTGGATATTGCATCTTCTTAGGTGACTCACTAATTTCATGGAAAGTTAAAAAGCAAGCTACAGTTAGTAAAAGCTCCACAAATGTTGAATACAAATTTATGAGTATGACAGTATGTGAACTACAATAGATTTCTTACATATTACAGGACTTTCACATAAAAGTATGTTTGCTGATCAGTTTTCTGTCTGACAACAAAGCAGCTCTTCACATTGCCACCAACCTGATTTTTCATGAAAGGACCCAACACAGAGAAATCGACTGTCATGTAATTTGGAACAAAATCAAAGAAGGCTTCATCTCACCAGCATATCCTTGAATTAGTAAATTATTTTTTTAAGTACAGCGGTCATATTTAATTTATTAAGGCAGCTTGGTTGGGTATTAATAACCTTATTAGATTGTAATCCGGTATTATTATCAAATAAAACAAAGGGCTTCTTTTCTTCCTTTTCTCATTATTAAGAAATGAGAAGGCATATAAGACTATATATATATAAGCTAACTAATTTGAATTCAATTAAAAAAGAACCATATAATAAAAGGCTTCAAATAGTAAAACGTTACAACATTAATGACCATCCAAACATACCCTTGGTTTCTGTCAATTCCTCGTACCCTCATTTTCTTTTGCTTCCACTCTCTGTTTGTTGCTCCTGGTATGTCCTCTCTCTCGGCCTCGCAGCCTCTTGCCCTTCTCCATCAGAGCTCAAAACACCTCTAGTTTACAGAGATTTTCGGAGCTATTTTCTCTTTCTTCGGCATGGTCTCCTCCGGTCACCATCTTACGCAGGAAATCTTTCCGAGGTAGAGCATTGACTTGCCGTTTCCATCTAGCTTAGACCTGCGTCCCCTCTGATTTCCTCTCATTCTTCTTCTTTCCTGCTTCGATATCCTTTTGATCTTCAGCTTCTTCCCGTCAGATTACCCATTCCTTTCTCACGCTTATCCACGCGTCTTGCTTTCACCTGCTCCTCTGTTTTTCTTTCATCTTTTCAAGACCTAAGCTCTCTCTCTCTCTCTCGATCTCGACGAAGGAAGAAGAAGAAGAAGAAGGCTGATAAACGAAAACGGCGCCGTTTCTATTAAGGAGCTGCTGGGCTTGGGCTGGGCTTTCTAAGTTGGGCCAAATGGTTTTTTATCTGGGCCCCATCTGAAACTAGGCTGTTATCTTCTGGGCTAGTTTCTTCTCCTTTTGCATTTTCCTTTTCTTTTTTCATCACTAAGAATGAGAGTGTAATATACATGCAACTCTATGAAGTCATGTAAAAAAGCAATGACACACAGTCACTTATAACCTGAGTTAATCCTCTTGTTTTGTTTGTTAACAATGTGTTAAACCCCTTTTTTACTAGCAATATAAACGTATAAATAATAAATTTTATCTATCTTTTATAAATTTAGTATTATTTAAAATAATGAAATATTTAATTAAAGTCAGAGATCATGTACTTAAACTGTTAAATCTTATTTCTAAAAATTTTTAGCATTTGTTCACTTGTTCTTTTATCCGCTATTATATCTATAAATTATAAAATTATACTTGCACGTAAGTGTATTATATCCATGTCTTTTTCATGTTCTTATTTTTTTATCTAAATCACAAATAATCAGAGTTAATGTTATTAAAAAAATTAAAAATTGATTGGAAATAAGAGATAATTAGAGTTAATACTAATTGCATATAAATAACTTAAAAGAAAAGAAGAGCTAAGGATTCTAACTCTCGAAATTTATTGGGAAAAAAATATATATTATGACAACTTCATTTCATTTTGAAGGATCAGTTCTTCCTCCTCCTAAATATGAATTGAGTGAATGAGAGGTCAAATGAGATCTTTCTAATTATTAATGGAGGATTGTCTAATTGCTCGAAGATCTAATACTAGAAGTTTTGTGTCTGCTTCGTAACTCTTTGGTTTTCGAGGTGCACTCCGAAACATTACTATTTTATATATTTTGACTCAATAAATTATATTTTATTTTTCACCTTTAAATTTTAAGATGCATTCGATCTATTATTTAAAAAAAAATTCATTACGAAATTAACTGTCAATAACATTTTGATGGAAATGAAAATAAATTATATTGCTAATTTGTTATAAAATTAATACAAACATAATATGACATATCGTTTTAGGTAATGTATAGGCCATTAATTTTCGTATTTTATAAACAAAATATTTTCAAAATAATTTTTAAAGTATATCAAATGTCTTCTTTCTTAATTTTATGCATGTATTATGATAACACATAACATAACATGAACAAATATCTTATTTCTTAATTTTGAGCATGGGTTATGGGTAACAAATGATTCAATTGTATCTAAAAATATGACCATTGGATACATCAAATAAATTATATTTCAAATTTTATTTTTTAAAATAGTAAGAATAACCTTTGAAGATGTGTAAATATTACTGATTTATCAATCTTTTAATAAATTTTGAGAGATTTTAATAATTAAGTTTTATTTTTTTATCTTGACCTAAATTTTAACCTTAATTTTCTTTTAAAATTATAATATTCTTTTAGAAAGAGAATTTTTTTTTTTAATTTATTCTTTGAAAATCTTCTAAAACATGTGAAGCAAACCTCTTGATGTATTTTTAAGTAAAAAAAAACACATCAAATGATGAGTTAAATATATCATTAACTAGCTTTTTTGTAAGAGAGAAATTGAAGGTACTAAAACTCGTATTTTTAACAAAAAACACATTAAATGATGAGTTAGACACATTATCAACTAACTTTTTTGTAAGAGAGAAGTTGAACGTAATCAAAATATTAAGTGGATTACTTGAGAAAAGAACGTAAACGTGAGATTGGTGACTAAAATTCTGTAAATCGGATTTGCAATATGTAATCTCCACTCTCTTTTATTTACTTATTGCATTTTGTTATAATTATCTATGAGTTTGTTGCTTGTGTAATTAACTTATTTATCAATTCTCATAGTTATCCTAAATTATAATTTTTTTAAGAAAAAACTATCATAATTTTTTAAAATAAATAAATAAATCGACCGTTATTAAAATGTCTTTAATACTTGGTGAACAAAAAATAATTTATAGCGAAGATTCTCTTTATAATTAATATTTTTCAAAAAATAAAACATGTTGATCCTGTTCTTTATTCTTTATAAACATTCATAAAATTGACCTTATATAAAATAATATGGATAATAAACTTATTACAAACATTGGTCCCCTATTTGGATAAAATATATAATTAATTCCCTATTCTATATTACGGAATATAATCATATCCACCAAATTAAATACCAAATATTAAGCTTAAACCATTTGTCATTTCTTAATTATTGCAATATCTTGTGTTTTTAGCTGTGATTTTATGTGCTCCAGAAAATAAAATTATCAGAACTACCCTACTTGGCTCTGAACCAGAATTGTTTATATAATTGGTTAATGATGTTGCTTGCACCCATATAATTATAATTAATATGTAATTATTGGGCTGATGAGAACAAAATTAAAATTAGTTCATAAATAAGACAAGGAAAAAGATATGAAAATGGTCCAGGAAAAATATATTAATATATATTTTATAAATTATTATCACTATCGATTGCCTTTAATTACATATTATTAGTTAATTCAGGACAAAAATATTCTTCAATCAAAATTATCTGAAATGAAATAGATTCGGCAACTGGTCAGTACGATATCAATTTCAATTAAAACGCAATCTTCATATACTGTTTATAGAATATGAGATGATGAACCTGATGAGAGTGGGTCATTATAATTTTGTTTATTGAGCAAAAAGAATCCTGTCCCGATTAGGCCTTTGGTTTTAGTCCTAAACTTTTTATTTCTTTTTATCGAATCAGACAATATGTATATACAGCAGCAAACCCTATAAATATTGTCCAGAAAATTAAACATGCAAGAAAAAAGATCAACCATTAAAATCTGTAACCAAACAAATTAAGTTGACATGGGTTCTGAAACGGCTCTTAAGCTTCCTGTAATAGACTTCTCCAAGGAAGATCTAAAACCAGGAAGCATTGAATGGAATTCGGTAAGAAGCCAAGTTCATCAAGCTGTACAACAGTATGGCTGCTTCGAGGCTTTATTCGACAAGCTTTCTCTCGAGCTTCGAAAGCAGATCTTTATAAACTCGGAAGAGTTCTTTAACCTCCCTCTAGAAACTAAGATGAAGAATGTTTCCAAGAAACCATTTCATGGCTACGTTGGGCAATACGCTATGGTCCCATTATACGAGAGCGTGGGCATCGACGATGCAAATATTATGGAAAAAGTTGAAGATTTAACCAAAACGCTTTGGCCTCAAGGAAATACAAGTTTCAGGTTTATTAACAATGATTTCATAGTATTTTTTAAACAAAAGTTAAAAAAAAAAAACATTTTCATACACTTCCATTGATCACATATTTTCTTTTTTGTTTGGCAGCAAAACCATTCAATCATTCTCTAAGGAATTGGCGGAATTTGATCGAACCATCAGGAGGATGATTTTGGAGTCTTTTGGTTTAGAGAAATACTTAGAAGAACATACAGATTCTACAAATTATCTTTTAAGGATAGCGAAATATAAAGAACCTAAAACCACTGAGAGTAAAGTGGGTTTACATGTTCACACAGATAAGAACACAATAACTATTTTGTATCAAAATCAAGTTGACGGTTTAGAGATTCAGACCAAAGATGGAGAATGGATTAAGACCAAACCCTCACAAGATTCTTTCATTGCAATGGTTGGAGATTCTTTCTATGTAAGTTGATTCCAATAGCTCTTCTTATGAGTTTACTTCAAGTTTTTCATTCTTAGAATATTAACTACAAAATTTGTTAAAAAATACAAATAGTTAGTGTCCTTCATTATTATAATTGAAATATTTAAATTTTTTATTAAAAAAAATCATAAAAATACACCGATAATAAATTATTAACTTATTTGTAAGTTTAAAAAGTACTTATAATTTTTTTTTTTTTTATTAAAAAATTTAAAATACTAAAATGTACATTCATTTTTTAATTT